ATATATATATAAATTTGTCTCTTTTTCGTTTGCTTTCGATATCCTATTTTCCCTTTTGGTTTTACTTAACCTCCTCACCCACTCACCACTCACTCTTATCACTCACCACTCCCTTGTGCTTTTACTCACCAATCACCACTTACCTCCCTGTACTCACCCATTAACTCACCACTCACACGTACCACTCGCCACTTACCCTAAAAACCACATAATCTGACAACTATAGCGCACATTGTACACGGCGGAGGTGAGCCGTATCAAGGAGAAACAGGAGCGCGAGGCGGCTAACCACAAGGCTGAACTGGAAAAGCTGCATGCTCAGGTGAGTTGGCATAACTGCTAGAATATGAGTGACTGACTGTGATAATAGTAATCATCATGTCTTCAATGGAAACTATTTCATTGTGCACTACCCGAATCTATTGAACATGGATATTCTGGGCCAAAACTAAATCCAAATACTTTTCATGTTCACACATCGTAGGTCGCCAAGTATGAGGAGCATACGCGGAAGCTGTCCGCTCAGATTGTGCGGCTGAATGAGAAGCTTTTGGAGGAGCAAAAGAAACATGCGATTGTCAGTACGCAGCTGCGGCACCTGCAGGAGGCGGAGCTGCCGGCAATGTCATCTCTGCCCGCTGTAGAGGACTGGCAGCCGTTCAAGCGGCCAAGTGCACCATCCGCCAATCTGGGCAGCAATCTGGCCATGGAGGACGAAGAGGGCGAGGTCTTCAATAACACCTACCTGACGGATCTCAAGCTGGGCACCGTTCCCAATATGACGTACGTCCATCGTTCACTTAAGTGTTATTTAATTTTTAATATATTTCCTTTTTTTGCTAACCCAAGGGCCGAAGAGCTGCAGTATCGGAACTCGCTGCAGCCGCCGCATTTGAAGAGCGCCTATGCGGCGCAGTATGACCTGGGCGCCCAGGAGGACGATATTAAAGTAAGCATTCAAAAACCATAGCGATCAAGATGAAGGGAGTGTTTGAGGGCTGAGGCTTTTCGCTTGGTTGGTTGCATCTCTAGTAATGGCCAATGGCTTTAATGTGTTTTAATGTAACTCATCTTTGGCAGGATGGGCCACACAGCCTGGACGACAGCATGAGTGCGCTGCTGAGCACCACAGATGGCCACGGTGTTGGTATGCGCAAGAAGTCCATGGGCACACACTATAAGCGTCCGGGTCCACCAACGCCCAGCAAAAATGGCGGCCGTCTGTCGTTTGGCGGCTCGGAGCCGCCGCGGGAAATACTGCGTGAGACTTGTGATAATAGTGGTACGGCCAAGACCCCGGCCCGCTTTAAGATCTTCGCATCTCGCTTCAGCATTGGCAACGGCGGCGGCGGCGGCGGAGGAGGAGGACAATGTCTGCCACGGGACGAGGTAAGAAAAGCAAGCAAAGAGCATCTGTGTGTTTCTGTCGTCTCCTCTTGTGTTTTAGCCTGTGTTTACTGCCTGTTGTCGTGCCCCCTATAAACGTCCTCGTGCTTTTGTGTGGTTGATGCCGCCACAGCCCATTAAAAGAATAATATGCTCCTTCACAGAGGCGGCGTCACCGTAAAGAGAGCCTGTTAAAGGGCATTATGCATCGCCGTCAATTGCAAACAGCGTTTTGTACATCGACGCCGCGCAGCAGCCGCTCCTTCTATGATCAGCGGCAGCAGCTAATTGTCCACTGTGATGGGCCAGCCGATGGCCAGGAGCTGATAAAGCAAGAGCAGGAAGTCACACCGCACTTGAACGATGCTCTGCCCTTGGCGGCGTCGAATGATCAGAGCGGCAGGCCGAGCATCTGTCGCCGTCGTTTAATAACAACCAGCTCGAGCAGTAGTCTAACATCCGCCACCCAAAGTGTCTCAAGTGGACGCCGACGCAAATCCATTTCGCGCAAATCCATTCACTTGTACGGCAACAGAGGCAGATCCCGTGCTAGATTGTCGTCGACGGCGCAGATGAGTCACAAGCGCATGCAGCAGCGAAGCAAGATTAAGGATCAACGCATTGGATGGTTCGATCGAGGCAGGCAGCTGCTCGATTCTGATGAAGATCCTCCAGAAGAACAAGAAGAAGAGGAAGAAGAAGATACCAAAGAATCTTTGAAGCTTGCCAATGGAACGTATGCCCTATCTAAGCCGAATGAGAACAACAATTACTGCGTGCTCAACCGCAATAATGGCTCATTGATGGCCATGGGTGCCACGATGCTATTGGATAAGAAGACTTGGAATTGCCTGGACATCAAGGCGGAGTCCGAGCTGGAGCGCAGCAGTGATCTTGAGGCGGCCACTTTTTGTGTGGATCGGGCAGCTATGAGCAACTCACATTCCCATTGGGATGACGAGGAGCAGCCAGCTTTGTTGAAGGCGCTGGTCGCCAAATACGACTGCGACCGCGACTCCAACTTGGCTGCGCTACAGCAATTCGAGGAGGATCACGTTTGCGCGTGGCTGAGTGACGGCGCTAGCATCGCTGCCGTTAACAATCTCAGCCACGATATCCATTTCGAAGAGCTGTGCCGCCAGACAGCCTCGACGGCGCCATTTGAGCTGCAGCCGCTGCAATATAGCTATGAATTAATAGAGACCGTGCCGCAGAGGCAGCCGCACAGCGCGTCCAACGCTACGGAGAACACCTCGAACGCCAGCTGCAACACCAACTGCTCGTCGCTGCAATCGTGGACGACGTACTCGCTGAGCCACATTCGTACGCATCGCTTGCCCCAGATAAACGTGACCACCATGGACCGGCTGAGCGAATCGCGACACTTACCCCATCGCAGGCATGGCAATATACTGATGCGTCTCTGGCAACGCCGGCGGCATCGCATGGGCCTCACCAAATCCCTGAGTCTTGGCATTGTCTTGTTCATATTTCTAATGCCGTTCTGTAGCTACCTCACGGCCACAGCTGTCGTGGGCTTGATGCTGTTGCTTCTCTAGCAAAGTGAGGATGAGGCAGGCGGCAGGCGGCAGGCAGCAGGCGGCACACAACAGGCGATATACAGCAGGCGATTTTATGTCAATAATCAAGATTGCAATCGAAATTTGTTTAATATGTGAAACTTCCGTTGTTCCTTTGCAGAACTCGCCACCGAAGCGACGGCTCAGCAACATGTTCAAACGCAAATAGATGTGTTTAACTGCAATATACCATATAGATATCAGATGAACTGATCCTGCCGCGGCCATCCTTTTGTACAGTTAAATATTAATTGCCAGCCGAGTGAAACGTGCTGCTGAAATCTTTTCTCTCTCTCTATCTCTCTCTCTCTCTCTCTCTCAGCTTAAGTTAATTCTTTGTAAAAATAAGTCGAATAACTCCAATGTCAATATAATATGCACATATATTTTTGTTTTTGTCAATCAAAGTCAAAAAACTAACACGTTCTATGTTAAGAGTACTCGCTCACTTTATATATTGTATTGTATATGAACAAAAATATGTTAATGAACTCTATTCTATGATAAACAATATATTTGCCGTGCACATTGATATACATTCATGTGTATATATATATATATGTGTGGATATTTGTATGTTAGCCGAAACGAATGATGCGTTAAGGCGAAATTTGAATAGATCTTTTTATGCAACAATAAATGGTTTGAGATCACCAGATACCAGAAATAAATATCAGTAGCTCATATTAATATACATTTAAATACCAGTTTATATACATATAT